TACTACTACTACTACTACTACTACTACTACTACTACTACTACTACTAGTACAACACGGTGTTGCACGAAAGGCCTGGACCTACCATGAAGTTCGTAGAATGTGTTTTTACAAAACCCTTTCTGTGCACTACCCTTCCGTTTATCTCTCACTATTCACACTCCTGAAACACAACACTGAAAAAGTTGATCCACTTGTCATTTTTGCACATTCATAGGTTCTTGTGTTCTCATGTTGCTCACTGCCTCAGGAAAATTGTTTCGAACCTGTTGGGGAATAATCGTGGGTCATTTGAACAAGAGCGCCTCTGTTGCTTGAACAAAATCACTCCTCACCGCATTGTTCACATGTTCACATGTGGAAAGAACAAATCTAGCTGGGCCACCTGGGATGTTGATCTGCATTGGGGTGTGTGTTCTGCGTCCTCGACCTCGCACCAAGGGTCACACCGAAGGCCGCACAGACCGAGTCTCCAGTCCATAGAGTTCAGCATCTGTTTGGTAAAGCGCTAACCGGCCCGGCTTCACCAAGCGGCAGCTTTGGTGGCACTGAAGATGATGAGATGCGTCACATTGAAGTGGCTCGCAACCTGAGTCTCGGAAAAACATCTCGTGAAGTGAAAAACCCCACCCACAGCCTTGGGCTTTGAGCCATTGAAGCCACACAACCCCTCGAAACCTATTATATACTGTAGGTCTAAATTGCTAAGCCAAACAAGGGTCGTTGAATGAATGAATGTGTGTGCAGGGTGTGTTGCCGAACAAAGGCAAGTCCCGCCTGCATTTCCCATGGGTCCCTGAGAAAACCGAGAAAACCGATAACAAGTACACAGCAAGTCCGGAATCGTATCAAAATGAACATCCTCTGTTAACAGTGTGGAACCCCACTGTGTAGGCCCCAGTGTGTGTAGGCCGCAGGATTCAGGCATGAGTTGCTATGAGTCACATGAACGCATATTTGCACAAAGAAGTCAAGTGCTGGAACTAATGTCGTTGTCTTTCTGAACGCACGTACTGCTCAGGTTTTGTCACAACCACCATCGCTACGTACTCATACACCCAGCATTTTTTGTTGAGATTGACAATTGCGAGAAGCTACTCTGTCTACAAGCAGGTTGGAGAAGACAAACATTTACCTTAAGGCATGAAGACATGCGCTGGTGCACATATTCACTTATGTTGTCTAATTGTTTTTTGCCTTCATGGGCTTCAAAGCTTTCTTCGGCTGCCTGGGGGGGGGCGTTCTTCACGTACTTCTTCCAGGTGTTGGGAGCAATTTCGAGGTCCTCCTGAACAAGCTTCTTCATGGTTAACCATGGGTTGAGATGGTCCAAGTAGTTTCCCCAGCGGCGGGCAGGGTTACATGAAGAAAGAGGATGTGGATCTGCGGCGCCCGGCATTGAATGTGGAAGCTAAATAGAACGCACACAGTTACACAGTGACGCAGGATCAAACACAAGCACAAACGTAAATGTGACTTAAAACGTCGTTGACTTCCTATTCTGGTCCTGGTATATAGTATAGAGTAGGGGTCTGCTACTGTTCCCGAGATGCTTGGGGAGGTGCTGATTGCGAGAAGATCCGGTTTCCGGTCCCAAGTGATGTGAGTGTTCATCGGGCACCTTCGACCGGATCCCAACACCGGGTCCTTCAAAGGGACTGAGGTACAGGAATGTCCCCCGTCATGTGGGAGAAGGTCGCTCCTTCATGAGCTGAAGTGTGCCAACACGAACTGCATGCGATCACAGAACAAGGAGTTACAACATAAAGATGAGGGCACCGGTGCTGGCATGCCCCAAGACCAGTGCACAGTGAGGGAAAGCACCAGCCCATGTGAACGATTCGACCACCGGTGTCTGGGACCTATTGAACATTGATTCTGCTTGGCTGCTGGCACATGTCCTACCACTTACCAGTACCTGGCGCCAGTCCCAACCAATTCAAACCTGAAGAATCCCTACCAGTACCAGGAGGAACCGTTTGCTGTGTCTCTTTGAAGGAACCAAACCTTCATCGCAGGCAACTGCGTCACCCCAAGAAACCAGCTAGCTACCCAGCTACTTCCAAAACCGCCGCACCTCAGATCGTCCAAATCCGAGGGGCCGCGATGAAGTCTTCCACCCGATTGCTCTTCGACTCCTTCAATGCTTTTGCACTGTTCGGCATCATCACCTCAATCGAAACCCGACCCGACCCGACCGCTCCGTTCCAACCTTCCAACCCGGCTCCCGGCTCGAACCGGCTCACGACGGAGCCGGAAGACCGGGACGAAGCGACCAGACGCGAAGGGGCGGTCGGAAGATGGCAGGTTGAGTAGGGCCTTGAAAGCCACAAGGCCGACAAGGTCGACCACGTGGTGTGTGACAAGGCCGACAAGGCCGACACTGGTGTGTTCGTTCGTGAGACAAATGCCACATTTCAGAGACAAATGAATTCCGGCATCAAGGTTAGCTACACAGCTACACTTGTATATATATATATATATAGACTTACTTTTAACAAATAAGTACGTATACACTTATAAGTCACTCATATATAGTTCTTATACTTATATATATATAGATAGATAGATCGCACTTGTGGCACTGCCATGCCGGAAGAAACAACACACACCAAGTCCATCTATAGTGCCCGGTATCTTGACCAGGGTGTGCAAACAAGCATGGGGACTGAACAAAGTTGTTTTCAACATAGTCAAATCAGTTTCAACACAGTAAGCTTGAAACTCAACATTCCAACTTCCTTGTCCAGAAACATTCCGAAAGTCTTGCACCAAATCCTTGATGCGATCTCCCACCTGGGCAGCACACACACTGCGATTAGGCTGGTGGATTGAGTGCCCTGGAAGCGGCCGGCCACCGAAGGTCTGCCCAGAAGGGTCTGGGGACTAGCCATGGGTAGACGTGCATGGCACCGCAGATCAAGCTGAACATGTGGTAGTGTATAGACTTGGGGTCAGGCCCACCTTGTAGACGGGGCCTAACAAAGAAGCCGAGGCTGGCTACTTACGAGCGACCGATATCCTACTATATACCTCCTTACCTTATGTATTATAGACTCACAGTATTTATGTCATATGTATTGCAGATACATGTTGACATCTCCTGTTTAGAATCATACAGAAAAGTGTCAGCATCTTTTGCATATTGATCTAGAGCTTCCAAATTCTAGGCCTTGAAGGGCTGGTAAGAAGTTGAACATCTTGACAGCGGGTTTGGAGGCTAGCAGGATGCACTAGCCAACCATGTTGCGTCTGTGAGTTACATAGTCCTGAGGTGTCCAGCTGCCACACTCGTCCTGTGGATCCAACCAGTGCTGTTTGCAACGACCAGACGCGACCTGTCTGGGACTGCCAGGACGGACTGCCTTCAAAACGGCCAGGGGTGGTGCCTGGTATGGCAGTCCCATGGAGTGTATGGGTGAAGAAACAGCTGATCACCGCTCCAGCGGTTTACACAAAATCAGTCGTTGAGCCGAGGATCCTCTCCGCGCTTGATGACGAAGCAACGGGGGATCAACTTCTTCTGTCGCTCCCCCTGTTCAGGCTCCTTCTCGGTGCGCGTCTTCTTTCCTCGGTGGTGCCACGCAGAACGTCGCCCTTGTCCACAGAGATGACCCTCGCCCGTGTTTAGACCACATCACAGGGAAGCGGAGAGTTCACCCCCTGTCCGTAAAGGAAAGTTGTCACCTCCTGTTGTAAACCATTAATTGTCCATGTTCATATTAGTGAGTCAGAGTGTAATATATATAAGCATAATATATTAAACTCAGAGTGTAATATAAACCATGTCAAAAAGAGCAACCGCAACCGCAACCGGACGAATTCTTCCGGACCCACCAACGAATCAGGCCCCAAATCTCCCCTCAAGTCTTGGATTGGGATCTCCCGTTCTTATCTGATTGGGCATCTCTGAAGTCCCGGGGGGTAGCCGGGTCCATAGGCCCTAGAACTATCGGGGGGGTCCTAGGGGGTTCATAGGCCCTAGAACTATCGGGGAGTCCTAGGGGCCTTGTGTGTTGGATCAAACCCTTTTGTACTGAGATATCCTAGAACTATCTGGACAAAGAGATTCTGTGTGAGCACATCTTCTATGGGTGCCAGCAAGGGCGCATTCTGAGCCGTGGTGTGGTCACTATGATGCACATCGTCCTTCTTGCCAGGAAGGGCTTAGTAGTCACAAACAATTGTCCTGGGAAAGGTCAAATGCGTTAATGGCATTGAGACAAGCAGCGCTTCCTTCCTTGTCGTGGCATGGTTCTATGCCATCAGCAGTTCAAGGCAGCTAAAGCAATGACATCTGCTTCAAATTGGACTTGGCTTGGGGTCTATGAGGGGATTTGTGCACAACATCAGAGTTGCTCACTCTAAGGACAAATAACTGTTGATTCGGCTATGACTAGCTTGGGGTTCATGCTGAACGTGTCGAATTCTGGTGCCAATATACTTGCTGCAGGACGTCTTGTGTCAATGAACGGAACCAAACAACGGTTGCCCAGGCGTGACTATGGCTGTGGACGGCTATGGGCAAGAAGCAAAACATGTGTAGAAACCATCACAGTGCCCCAAACCCATCTCAGTGACGGTTCACCCTTCATTACGGGTATTGCATGGCACCTGGTACACCATGTGTCTGTGATCGTTGCAGCGCTTGATGCAAAATGAAGCCCCATGCAACAGCTGGCCCAAGTGACACTGAGCAATAATAGGCAAAAAAAAACGCCAGAGCCCAAATCACTTCCTGCATAGGACCTAGTTCCTAGGAGCTCGTGGTGGATGTACCTTTGATCATCAGCTATTTGGCTGACTGGGTGGCACCGGGACACCCGGGTTCGGAACAAACCACCGACGAACAGGTCAACCGGCTGAACGGCTGAGCTCCGGGTTCCAGGTGCGACCCACCGCTACCAACCTCTGCGACGGTTGCGTGGGGGGGGCGCTGAGTCTGGCGCGAGCGTGCTGAGTACGTACGAAAACACCCGGAATACCATCGCCTACAGTTACATCCAATAGCTGTTTGTCGTTGATGATGAGTTTGAATCAGGTTGTGCAGTCAAGCACCAACAAATCTGTGGCCAGTTGGAAATCGTTGCAGTACCGATTGAATCTTTGTCACAATTGCGCTCCCTTCTTACGCGATTGCTGCTGTCAGGATTGGCTCCATTCTTGGCAAATCGAGGTGATCTGCAAAAACGCACCCCCCCCCCCCATCTCTCTTCACCAGGCGTTTCACCAAGCTCTGCGGCAAGGCCAAGGAGCCCAAGGACACCTCCTGAAGTTACTAAACAGAGAACCGGCAAGTCTGGAACTTGGACAGATTTGGAAAGCACCGCGGACTAGAGAAGGACAGATATGAAGCTGGAAGAACCTAAGCACTCCTTGACTCAAACCTATGATTGGTGGAAAGTGATGAAGACTATGATCCAATCACCATGGTAGAAGACTATGATATACTATGATATACTATGATCCATGACTGTGGTAATTAGGTGTATCCATGGATACAATCCATCATATCAAGTTCCAAAACACACAGGTGAGAAAACTGAAGTATTAAGACAGGACATCAGATCTATCGTCGATCTGTTGGACTGCGCCCAGTCCAGCCTTAGGAGCCTTGTTTAGTGGACGCAAGCGACTTTCGGTCTACCCAGTTGCGGAGGTCTACTGCACGTGGCAATTCTCCCAAATAAAGATCTATATAGTGGTTTTCAGAGGTTTCGATGGCACTTGCACCCCAAGTCTGGTGGTTTATATGGCTGCACGCCCATCTAAAAGATCGATGTTAGACCTCTTGAGGTTTTGGCCATCGAACCTCTGAAAACTGATATAAATCACATGGCAGATAGTGGTAGATCCCAAACATGTTGATAGATCCCAAACAGCTTCCCCCCAACAGCTTCTGTTGACTGGTCTATTTCCCTTCACCCAACAGGGCCGACCACGGCTGAGAACTTCATGAGGAGGTCGGACAGGTCGTGGGGCCGAATCTCGGGCTTCAACCAGTTCCCTAGATCTGTGCGATACTCTTCTTCAGTGCATACTTCAACCTGGCCTCAAAAAGGTGTCCAGTCAGTGCTGCCCAGTCAGCAAAAACCCCTCATCCACGCACGTCGTGTGCGTCTCCTCATCCGTCGCCTCCCAGCGCGGAACGGAGACTGAGGAGACCGTGTTGACTGATTCACTCCTACATGGACGCTACATTCGATGCTCCTGGCCTTACTAGGAGCAAGCAGCTACTAGTATGTTGGGTCTATCCTGCACCGCCCGTTTCACCCTCCCTGGGTTGACCTCCTACGTAGATTCTGTTCATTATCCATATGGATCCACGGCTCCTTTCGGTACGGTGATGTGTTGTCTCCACGGTTCTTTGGCGGTGCCAAAACGTCCGTCCGAACCGGGTCCGTTTTCGTATCGAACCTGAGAACGTCCGCCATGGAGCGGGCTCCAGGCTACAACATATGTCTTTGTCTAAAATACAGCGAGTAGACACTGAGTGATCATGCATCTAGAATCTACATCAAACCAAACATCCTCAGCAATGCGCAGGGGTCCAAACGTAAGGCGAGTGCAAGGCGTTGCAGCGTTGCAGACCTTCCTGAACTCTTCAACACTGGATCTAGAAAGAACGAATCCTTGGCTATCCTTGGCTGATATAAGAAATATATCTGATATAATATCTGGATGCCTCAGTTTAACTCTTCATTATTTTGATTCTTACATTAAGAAACAAATCCTTGGCTGCAGTAGCTTCTGAACCTTCTCCACCCATTCCAAGTGCCGAAATGACTGGCCTGAATCGACCCAATGGGGATGTGTCCCAATGCCGGACTGACTCGTTGCTCTGATGTCCGATGTCCGTGAGGGACAAGAATCCCCCCACACAGTTCACCAGATGAGGAGTTCACCCCATGTGTTCTTCAAACGTGTGCCGTTCAGATTCCCGAACTCATGCTCAATCTGAGGACAGCATGCTCTCTTCACCGTTGCCTGGTCGGACTGCTTGGTCTTCACAGTGACGATCAAGTGACGATCAACGAAACGGCGCACCTCCAATCCTCCCAACTTCATGGGTTCCCCAATCCCAGTCCTCCCATTCCCATCAATTTCCCTATGTTAAACACAGTCCGAATGGGGAGAATCCCAACAAACAGGGCACCGTATCAACCTGAGGAATGTCCCCGCGAGCAATGATTAGTTTTTGTCGTTGAAAGGTTCCCAAGTAAGCACAGAAGAGGATCTCCTCTCGCTCACAACAGCTTTGAATTGAATTTGGCCCCGCCTCCATCTTGGAGCAAGTGCAAAGGCCAAGCACAGCTGCTGCTTGTTGATTTGTTGATCCTTTAATACAATAGCTTCATTATCTTCAACTTAGATCCGGCATGTTCGAATTGGATCCATGCAAGCTCCATGTTCTTGGACATCAAGCATCTAGTTCAAAGTCCCTGCAAATGTTAAAAACTGATCGGCCAATCTGTTGAGCTTCCAGGTCTAGATTTCTTCACCACCTTTGATTCTCTAAGAGTGGAGCAGTGTTCAAATCATGTGATCCTTGCTGTACTTCTTCTGCTGACATGCCCCAATCCAAAGGCGCGCGACACAGTTGGCATGATTCAGTCGCCGGAGAAGGATCTGAAAAGAGTCGACGTCCCTCTTCCCCATCAGAAAAGGGAATCATTTATCCAGGTCCACGGGCAAGTCGACTCGCCTCTTCCCACTCTCAGCTAGACTTTGAGGGAGGAACCCCCCCCCCCTCCAAAGGGTGGCCAAAACCGCCTCCCCTGCGGCGAACGGTGCCGGACGAGTCCCGGTCGCCCGGGTCCCGGGTCGAAGGGAGAAGTGTCTACTGAGTCGACGCCCAAGGATGGCGTTGGGCGGCTGCAATCCAGACCGCCGTCCATGAAAAAAGGCCATCGCTAAGAGGAACAGAGAGGAAGTGATTTCTCCATTCGCGGCCATTGTGGGGGGTCTATAGAGTCTATAGATAGTCAGGGGGGTCTATAAACCATCCTGCAGGGTGGTGCTGGATTGTGGTCTTTGATTGACTTCTCCATTCCACTTCCATCCTTTGCCTGCTTCGAGCGAGTCCGAGTCGAGTCCAGCGACTCCAACGGTCGATTCGACCGGGGTGGAAGGGGATCCTGTAGGTATGTCCGAAAGACATTCGTAATATGGAGGTTGCTCTGACCAACTAGTATTCAAACACCATGTTCACCACATGTTCACCACATGTTCACCACATGTTCACCACTTGTTCACCCATGTTCACCCATGTTCACCACATGTTCACCCAGTGAGTTCACTGCCTCCTGATTCTGGACTTACCAAAAAAAACAACCCTTGATCCTCCACCGTCGCCTCATAGAAGCGGGGACCATGCGCGGGGATGGCCACCTGGGGGCCGAAGGATTGGTATGTTTGCAGCATATGTGGAGACTCTACGGTAGTCATCTAGAATGGGAACCCCCATCAAGCTGTGAAAGCTAGACAACTGCCCTGTGAGTGATTGCTGCACACACTTTGCACCTTAAGATTCAGGAACTCCAGGTCAGTTGCACGATCATGCAAGAAATCGTGGCCAAACATGCTGGGTCCAAGTTCATGAAAAACAACAGTTGGAAAACAAACATGTCATGTTCTGAAATCAATGGGAGTTCTAGAATCAACGTTATTTTATCTGTTGGGGGAAGGGACACCTGCGTCCCACTCCACGAAGCCTCCACGAAGGGACAAGAGAGCTGCACCTGGCGGTCCGACGACCCCGACTGCCGGGGTGAAATGAAAAACCTCAAGGGGCATGATCGACATCAAGCAAATAAGATATGATACAAACATGATGATGAAATCCAAGAAGTCTGGCCACTTTAATTGGCTGATCAGTGTTGGACCTGTTGGGGTGTTTTTTTTTTTCCGCAGTGTATTCTACAAATTAATGATTGAAGATGATTGAAGCATATTGAAGCTGTCTGTTCCCATGCAACCAGGAATACGGAGAAACAGGTCAAACAGGGTCCGACCTCTTCAGGTGGCCACGCCAATTGTGGCCATGGTGTCAACAACATAACATACAGGAGATCTTGCTTTCAGATCGATCTTTGACAAGGAAAACGCACACCTTTGAACAAAGATGGCTCCTCCCTTGAGTAGAAACCATGTGGGGGTCACCCAGGAATACTATTCCTGATGTGGTGACCCTGGCCCCAGAATTTATTTAAGGGAGGGACCATGAAGAAATACAGTAATTTACAAAAAATCAGAGCAGGCATGAAACTATGAACCCCATCATGGTGTCTCAGTCTGCCATTACTTGTACTTCCCAAATTCACTCATTAACCAGGATCGTGTATGTTTAAAATACTCCACGTTTTCCTGTCTCCCGATCTTGGATGAGAGGTGGGCGGGAGACACGTCTCAACACGAGCACGTTTTGAGTGGCGAACCGTGTGGTCCATGACGGTCCCGGACTGTAGCTGTAGCAGGTGCACAGTCGATGCTGTAGTCTGTTGGAGGATTCTCACTTTTTGGTACCCATCCACCAAGTTACACAGTGGTCATGAACTCTACCTCCTTGCCACTTGGCGCCTGGTCCTGTTGTTGCATCTTCCCAGCTGTGACCTCGTAGATACCCACATGCCTCAGACATGGTAAATCTGCGGATCTTGAAGGAGCTCGATGAGGCTTAAAGGACAGCCTAGCATGCCTAGCTATCAATGGGCTTTCCAAATTCATCTCGTCGAGTTGTTTGGAAGGACCTCCAGCTTCCATCCGCAACTTTCTGGATGATCATTTTCAGAGTCGCCTGGATTGTCCACTGGCCATGCAGCAAGTCTTTTTGACCAATTCCAAGTGGAAAACAGTGGAAAACCCTTTTTTGGGGACCCCCAAATAGATAGAAAAGTAGATCCTAACTAAAAATGTATTGGACACCCTTTCTATCTATTTAGGGATCACTATGGACCACTATAGGGGTAGGATGAGGTAGGAGGACTGAGAGTAACGAATCCGAGCAAATGCCAAACCTGGCCGGCCGTTTCAAGCCACGCTTGCACAAGCGCATATCTGATAATCATGTCCCTCAACCAACAGCTACTACTGTATCACTTGCGCACAGCCATGTCCGGCCCAGTGGTTCGAAACTCCTGTAGTACAAAAAAGAATCCGGATGACCTGAGCCTTGCAAGTAATTAGACATCCAGTAGTTGAGAACAGAGTGTTTTCGCCAAGAGGCTCTGAGTCGTCGAGCACGGTGCTGTTGGATGCGTAGTCGTGCAGGTGTGCCAGCATCAAGTCACGCTCCTGGTGGGCCACAGGTTGCAGCGTGAAACAGGTCCACTGATCATTTCCCCGTGGAAAAACGATCGGATGGACCCTGGTTGAACCAGTTTTGTAGAGGAAAAACCGTCGGACTCCGGGTCCCATTCGACCCGGGTCCAGTTTTCGGGAGTGTATGCCTTACAGTATGCCTTATGATACGCTATGGATACGTTATGAGTTATGACTATGTCGTCTCTGGGTCTCAAACTACGGTCGCCTCGGTCGCCCTTGTGGTGTTTTCTGATTGATCGGAAGCTGTCCATCGGGATTGGAAGCTGTCCCACTATGCGAACAGGAGTTCAAACACCGAAGCAGGCCGTCATCCCATCCGGTGTTTAAACCACCTTTTTGACCCCTCGCCGGTCATGAACAATCAATGATCGATCCAGGCCAGCTCCGGATATGGAAGAAGCCCAAGTCACAAAAAAGGACCCCCATCACAAGTCGACCAAAGGGTCTTCAAGGAATCAACCTGGGGGCCCAAACACCGTACTATTTGGCATCCATGACGATCATATCCTATCCACTCTCGCCCGATCCCCCAAAATGCCAGCTCCTGATTCGGCCGGATCCACCGCCAAGAGTTCATGGCTTGGCCCCAGACGGCCAACATCAAGGTGCCTTCGTTCCGACGCATTCGGCGCCCCTACCGAGGACCAGTTGGTCCACCGGTGTTGGACCCCTCGGTCCTTTGGTGCGGCACGGGTCGGTCCATCACTTCTCGGATTCCCTTTGTCGAACCAAGGGCGCAGCTGTCCCCCACTGGGGTCGGTACACTCGACTCGACTCGACCCGCCGAAAGCTGCACGGTCGCACGGTCGCACGAGCACGTGGCTGCAAGAAAGCAGCTGTTCAGCTTCAAGACTTCGGAGACTTCCAGATGCCCACCTGGAAAGTCTCAAAAAGTCGAAGGAGTTAAGTCCAAGGTCCGATTCAATTGAGGTCACGTCACTGGAGCCACCAAAACCAAAGCCGCAAATTGCGAAAAGAAGAGGTTGGCACCCGTCACCTGCCTGGTCTTGCAATATGTATATGCATGTATATGCATGTATCAAGCCCTGCCACATGTCACCAATGGGGTGCTAGAGCTTTGTCCGTCAAACGTTTGATCATTGGATAGCGCGCAAATCATGTTTCAGGAAATGGCTGTGGGTCATGGCACCCGATACTACCGACCGAAAACGACCGCCCCCCGACACGTGTCGGTCGGAAGCGCGGCCAATGATGGACTGGTTGGGCTCCAAGTGTTTGACCGGATGTCCCAAATAGAATGTGTTGTCACTCATGATTTATCCAAATGTTTCATGATCTTGATCCAGATGTTCCTCAAAGTGGTTGAAGCAAAGCCATTGAAGAAATACTCAGTCGGTTGGTGCAAGATCCGCCACGGCCCCTCGAATTCTGGCCGCCCGTTGAAGCCATGTTGGGAACCTCCTATGATGGTGGCTTGGCTTGGCTGCATTTTGGGCCAGAAGCGATGGAAAAGCCGTTGGTTTGGTTCAAGACGCATATCAATACAATATCTTAATGAGAAACAGGTCTAGTCTATGAAACAAAACCGGTAAACAGGTCTATACTGGTCTATAGCTCATAGAATTAACTATATTGTTCATTCTTCTTTACATGTCATGTTATGCCAAGAATAGCCACATGAGTTTAAAACAAAGCTATAGGGACCCATTCGTCACGGTCCGGAACCGGTACGTCGTTTTGTCCTACCTCTCGGAACCCGGGTTCCGTTTGCCTGCGCTTCCATTGTGTGCGGACCACGCAGGGCATTCGCCGCCCAAGGGGGGATGAAAGCCATGGACACAGTGCTCAATGGGAAGGCAAATGCCAGCGCCTCCCGATCGTAGGCGTAGATGAGGCGTAGATGAGGCGCGGAGCTTGTGGGGGTTCCGCAAAAAAGAAGAAGTCGCTGTAAAAAGTGGAAGGTTTGATGCAAAGTTGCATTGAACACAAACACAAACTTCATGAGATCAAATAAGCTTCTCCAGCGCAAATCCACAAATCCAGATCAAAACTATATGTAGTACTATATGTATATATATACTTGATATATAGTTTAATAGAGAGCTAGTCTGAATTCAGTACATGCGGGAAGTGGTGTGTGCGGTTCAGCATCATGCTCACATTTCGTCACATTTCGTATCCCGAAATGTGACTGTCATGCCAACAGCGGTTGAAGAACCCAAGTTCGACTATCCCAGTTGGGTACCCTATTACTCTCTGTCCTTTGTCAGGTCACCTAGTTACTCTCTTGGTGTGTTCATGTCACCACCCCAGTCACGCTGGCCGAGGCACGGTGGGCTGGCTCCGGTCCGCAAATGTCGGGTGAGCGCTCGTTGCACTTGCTCCAAGAGACGCAATACAGACCGTCGCCACATTCACGGTGACCTCGTCAGACGGTCGCATCCTTTGGGGAAGATGCGATCCAAACATGCGGCGTCTTAGGGGTCACAAGGCGGCTTCCGACCGAGGTGTTTTTTATGGTTTGTTCGTCCCATCCAGGACCTGTGGATGTGACAGGGGCACCTGCAGGGTCACCCTCCGGGAAATGGCACCCCGTCTCGTGGATCATCATGGATTTCTCACTTCCCTGCTAGGAATGCGTGATTCACGACTGTCAGCCGTTGGGCTAGGTGTAGGGATCATGATCACCATGGATCATCATGTTTTTTTTGGACACAAGGTGGTCCTTGTTGAGCTCGAAAGAGACGAAAAAGACGTGTGTCACGCCGGAACAAATGGGATGCCATGCTACAGTGTGTCGTCTGAACTGCCAAGCCAAGCTCACCGTTTGGTATTCGCAACACTTTATTTATACTAGGCCTTGTTGCGACGATTCGCTTCCAAGCATGCATCATGTCCCCACACACACAACTAGTTCTATTACAGTTTGTTCGAAGTGATAGCCAACCTAGTTCAGCCACATTCGACAACAGACCGTTCAATCTCCACTTGCCACCTGCAATTCCTCCAGTGCACGCATGGCCAATTGACATCGATGAAGGGCAGCGAGCAGTTCAAGCAGGCAAGCTCTCTGGGGCTGTACATTTGGGAGCTTCATTCATACCCAAAAGGGATGCAAGGGGATATGCAACTGCAAGGTTGATCATGGCTCTTGACGGGCAGGTGTTCACCACTATATAGATTACCATATAGTAACAGTCGATACTGTTCCGTCACCGATAGACCTGAGTCATTTGGAAGGAAGAAACACCTTATCCCATTTGTTGAAAGGGTGTACCATGGTGTACCACTTCTTTTTGAATAGCCCATGGCTAAAACTGGGGGGAAGAAGAATTTCAGGACCTGAACATGGCATGGTCCGCATCACGGCATCCAAGAAGCTGTTGCAGGCCTTAGCTCCACGGCATTGACCGTCAATGGACCGACGGGTGTTGCAGGTGCTCATGACGTTGCAGAAGCCGTCCTCCCATTTTCGATCCGGTGCGCCACGCCGGTCATCCGTTCGCCTTCGTTTTCGCTTCATGTCCGGAAATAAACATATACCTAAGTGAGTGGAGTAGCTGGGCACCCCGACTACCTCCGTTCGGAACCGGCACCCCTCACCTTGTGACTCCTGGTATGAACTGCCTTAAAAAAAAGAAACATAAAAACCATCAGGCTTTCTTTTTATTTCTGTTTCACTGAACATGTCTGATTGTTTGAGCCAACTAGCTGTATACTTGCGGACCAAACAACCGAATCAAGGGGAACTGAACATAACAACAGAAACTTCATAACCAGCAACATGCCATCACAGTTCCATCCCAGCACAGGTGTTCACTTGAGCAAAACATAGCAAAAGCCATCTCAACCCCATCTCCGCGATGTTCGACATCGACCGGCTCCTTCCGCGGTTTGTCTCCACAAGTGCCTCACTGTGAGGCACTTGGAGAAAGTCCGCCGATCTTCGACCATCGTGGTTTCGACCCCAAAACATGACGAATCAGGGAAACAGCCTGTGGTGAGCATTAAGAGCAATGTGTGGAGGGCACTCACCAAATTAAGGATTAAAGTCGGAAGATATCGGAAGTCAAACATGAGGATCATGAGGAGGTTACAGTCGACAGGTCTTCTAGAGGAGGCGACTTGAGGCAAGCTAAACATCCATCCCCCATGCCGGAGACTGTCTTGCCTTTTGGAGCAGCCATCTCCTGGGGTCCTACCTGGCTACAACCCTTGGTGCTGCAGGGAGCTGCAGCATGTTCTGCAGCTGGAACATCTGGAATCTAGAACTTTTTACATCTGTTTACCTCCAACAAGCTATAGATTCCAAAATCCTGTCGGCCTTTCCAGTGAGAACATGGGAGCTCTGCACTACCTGGTCAAGTAATTCATGCACCGATGCAACTCACATTGATGGCTACACTGGATGCTTATAAACCAGTACAGACCCACAAATTTATTGCAAAGTGGATCCTCACTATACCAACTGTGCGCTGCGACACGCTTCTAAAAACGCGGAAGCCTTTGCCCGCCGTTTCGGACCATCCAAGGAGCCACTGTTTTGGACATCTTCTTCCTGACACTTCTTCCAACTCCAACAGAACTCGTGGTCTTTGCAATCCTGATGCTTGAAGCATCCTGCCATGCGAGAGTGACATGAGAGCTCTGTAACTACCCCTGGGACTGGGAAAATGAGGGTCAGGAGCCCGGCCCACATAGAACATAGACATGATGATTCATGCAAATGTGCAACAAGGGAGTTAAGCAAAATAAATAGGGACAATGAGATTCGATGAACCCTCTGAAACCATACGAGCCACGCAGGAGTTCCTCTTCAAGGAATCCACTCGAAAATGAACCGCGCAAACACGGTCGTACGAGAAACAGCAGGTGAGACCTCGGTGTGGTGTTCCCCAATCCCCCAATTCTTGGTCTTCAACACCCAGGACTCGTCTCAAACACCCATGAAACATGTTTCCATAATCCAAGAGTCTCTGGGTTTGGATGCCTGAAACCAAGAGAAACCACCAACACACAAAACCAAGTGAAACCACCAACACTCCCGTTGAACAGGCTTGAACAAAAGCTCTGGTCACCCTGGTCCAACCATCCAACCCTGGGAGTTTCGCGCCCCAAAAAACACGAAAAAACGCCACCTGGAACACCTCTGGACCAGTCATGTCCGGCAGTCCGAAACGCCGCCGACGGAGACCGGTCGGTCCGCCTTCGTAGAGAGGACACTCGGAGACCCCGTCGTCGGCCACCGAGCAGAAGATCCGGCGCTCGCAATGGCCGCCGCGGCCTGAGCGGGCGGAACGGCCAGAGCGGGGCGGTGTGCGGTTTGGGGGATCGAAGAAGTGGAGATAAAAGTCTGCCAACTTGTACAAATTGATCTACAACATATCTGTGAGGGACGGTCAAAAGGCGAGATATGTATATACTCTGTACTCGTCTAATGAAAAACGGATGCTTGGAAAGGCGGATCTTGTGCCTTTGGAAAGGCACACCGGTGGTCACCTCATGTCCAAACCCATAAAGCTAGCTGCTAGCTGCTCGGCACAAAATACGTATTATGTAGCTTGAAAAGAAAACACTCTTCAGAATTACAAAACAATCCAGAACCAGACCTGGAACGTGGGCTCGTCAACTGTTGCGTTTGTGCAGTTCTGGGCGAACACGATGTATCTTGCAAAGATTGAATCTTGCTCTACTCGACGAAAAAGTCTCTTGCTTGCTATGACAGGCCGTTGCTATGACAGTGCATGAGTACAATGACTCAGTCCTCAAGTCCCACAGGTGAGGAGTGCTCAGCCTCTCTCACTCCACTGTGGCACACAAAGGGACCGCCGCAGCACGACATTCTTTGGTTGTTCTTCAACGACAGTCTTCCATGAGCCAGTTATGCCGATTCCCAAATATGACTCGCGCAGCTCCATTCGTTCAACACATTAAAATCATTAACGTCCAAGCCTTGGCTTGTCTCAACACTTGCACTCAAAAGTTTGACAGGTCTTTACAGAATGTTTCAGCAAGACTCAGCACACCGAACCCACCTTGGGTTGGATTCAATCTGTTTTTTCCGACACTCCATAGACTTACAACCTACCAATCCCACCTTCACCTTCACCTGGTCATTTCCACCAACCCAGTCTGACCTGCCTGTGGGGCAATAGCCGCAAGGCCAATAGGCTCGTTGACTTTCGGACAGGCTGTCACGATAAGCCTCGCACTTCTGGCAATCCATGCAATACCTGGACACGCGATGCACTCTTCCGCCAATCCCGGGATTTTGGTCCGAGGCCTTCGACCGAGGTGAAGGGAGAGCGAGAGCCGTCAGATGGGCCAGGATCCGGGTAATTAGAAACAATTGCCAGTAACGAGATCACAAGAGCTTCATTGAGTAATGGCAATGTCAAGTATCGTCCAGTTGACTCTTCATTATTTATATATACTCCGATCAAACAGTTGTTGAGGTGACTTGTTTTATTGCGCCAGGTTTCGGTATCGGGGGCATGCAGGTGTGTTGCGCCATCTATGCGCCGCGTAGCTTAAAAAAGAAGGTGTTGGTAGTTGGCAGAACTTGCAAAACAAACAAATATTGGCTCTTGACTATTCAATATTCTCTACAATGGCATGGACTCCCCATCCCCATTCTAGATCAGCCAGCTTCTTCCAAGGAAGAAATTGGGTTCAAAATGCCAGCCAATCTTGACGCCAAAGCTCTTCTGGGTGCGCTATCCTGTGACTTCCCAATGGCACATCGACCAACAGACTGGCCAAGCTAAGCGCTAAGGCAAGCTGCTCATCTGGTAGGCACTGAACATGAGAGTTACATCCCTTCTCGGGTGGGCAGGTGCCATCGATGCCGGTGTTGCCCTGAAAAAAAAGCCGTTCTGAAAGGACCGGGTTGCGGGTCGCAGGTCACGGTCGCTGGTCGCGGGTCTCGCTGCCCCGCCCTCCGCACCATCCAGAGGTTAAGTGACCTGACAACGGACCCGTACGTAATTACTGGGTTACCCAACTAGGATAGTCGAACTACGGTTCTTTCAACCGCTGTTGGATGGCCATAGATGAAGGGATTCTTGCCGAAAGGTCATGTATCCCCAAAAAACAATAAATCCAGGATTCTTATGGCCGCGATTTGATGCTTTGACTGAGACGTACTTTTACTTGGATCATCAAAAGCCTCTGGGCCTTTGGTCTTTCAATCCATGTGCCCCATTGGTGATGACATTCTACAAGTACCAGCCCAACATATGAAACAATATGATAAAACATGATAAAATAGGAACAACACAAAACAAGACATTGTTTCCACAACTCTTCCTCCGACGTCATCAGGAGCGATAAATAAACCAATGCATTTCAGAATTTTGCACATATCTGTGACACAGCAAACCGACGTTTGCAGCCCAAGCAAAACGCGCTCAATTGCCTAACACAAATATGTCGACTATATAAATCGATTGCGACCAACTTCCGGAGCTACCTATCACCACACTTGGCATCTCCAGCACCAGCGCCCACTTCGAAGGGTCGGGCCGGGTAAAGTCCAGACTGAGACATCCAGCTGACCCCAAGGAACTTCCTGACCCAAAGAAACCACAAACAGACATGACATACCATGAGTGGCGACCCTGTTGGGGCGGCCCTGTTCGGGCGTGCCCCCAAGAAGTCGTGCAGACGGGCGGGACGTCGAAGTTCCCCCCACTCTCCGGTCCGATCTTCCTCTCACCAAGAAGCCAGCTGGCAAAGACGTGTAGGCTCACAAATGCCACCTACAAGGAAGGCATGAATTTCAAGCCACGGATGTGGCTCCAAAAACATCAAGACCTACATCCAAACAACGACTCAGGTGCTGGATTGACTCAGGGCGCTTGGGTTTTGAAAAATTTTGGGGGGGTACCCGATCTTTTCCGTTGCCATATCGGCTGGAAACTGGACGCAAACTGGAACCTTTGGGACCAAACGTGGCCTTCGTCGAATGAGTCGAATGCTGGAAGTGTTCCTCATCAGATCTGATCAATGCGCTTTGTGTCGCCTGACTACCTGGTTAGATGTCGAGCAGGGACAAATGAAAACCGGAGTACACCCAAGGCGGGATCCCTGGCCAGCTCAATATGTTCAAAAAGACCGAAGTTAGAGGGCTAACGAAAACTGAACACTTTTGACATTACTCTAACCCATTTCATTCCACTTGACTGTTCCTGGACACTGCGCTGGTGGTTGGTAGTGGCTGGATTTACCTCTCAAACAAAATGAACAGGGACGGCTATCCCACAAGCTCAGATGGATGCGCACTTGTCAGACAAGATGCCAAGACAGAACATATGTCAAAGCACATGTCGGAACATATGTCGGAACATGTGTCGGAACAAAGGGCAGATTTGATGGCCAGAATGCATGACAAAACCAACGTCAGAACACCTCTCAGAAGAAATGTCGGACCGTGTGTCGCAACCCTTGCTAGATTTGATGCGAGAGCGCATGTCAGAAGTATATGCCACAGAACGCATCACAGCCGGATAAAGTCAGAGCACATGTGAAATTGGACATTTCATAAAACCCACTTTCTGCTAGATGATGTGTCAAAGTACCAGTCTTGAATGTCCGAGCATTGCGTCAGTGCACATGTCAGGCAGCGTTTTTGTGGCCAATGTCAATGCATGTGCCGTGGCTTCCAAATCACCTCTCTGGGGGGGGATCACTCGAAGTAAAGCAAAGCAACTTCAATTAAAAAACACAGTTACATCATATGATATATATAGAGAGAGAGAGAGTTTGTTCAACAACACATCCTGAACTACGCTTCGATGAAGCACATCAGGCTTTTTCAACGGGGATGAGCTGTGTACCATGTGTACAAAACGCAATAACAGCGAAACATCAAATAATCTTGTGGCTGTTGATGAGTGCGCCTGTTCATATAACACCAAGCAGTTTGGACATAAGACGACTGATCGCTGGAGGACACAATTTGCAACGGGTGACTTTGAGTGGACGGTATTGTGACTGTGTGCAACAATTCTATATACGTGTAATACATGGAACGAGTGCAGCGGCAACCAAGAGAGAAATGCTACAGCAAACATGGACGTATTGTTCCTTCCTTCCTCTACGGTCTCTACGAGCACTACCGTTTTCCTATAGCCTATGTCATTCTGGCATTTGTATAGATACATAGATGGGTATGTATCTATTTAATATACATGTGTATATATATATTATCAAAATAAACGTGTGTATGTGTATATATATATACACGCGGGTACGGTATGTGTATTGTATATATACAGATATATAATGTAGGTATATATATAGATATGGACTCAAATGGGTGTATCTCATTCCTGCAGCAAAATGGTCTGATGATCGATGTTATGGTATATATGTGTTAGCATGCGTTCTGACATTTGTTCGGGCATTCGTCCGACAGGTGAGGTGTGGAACATTTGTTTTGATGTGTCTTGGCATGTCTGCTGGCATGTGCTCCGACATCTGTTCTGGCATTTAATTTGTGCTGGCATCAAGTATGGCATGCGTTCGGACATGTGCTCCAAATCATCCTTACATCTGCCCTGACATATCTTCGAGCAATCCTGATCGTGACATCTATATGTTCGGAGATTCTGGCATTCTATCTGGCATATCTTTTATCTCAGATTCCTTTTGACATGTTATCTGCCATTCTATCTCACATATATTCTCACATACGATCTGGCAGAAAAATGTTGACCTGGATGCTCCCGGGGTGTCGCTTCGGGTTCGCGCCCCTTCGGGTCGCTGATCGGTGACCGGGTGAAGCGAGGTCAGGTCCGGTCCGTGCAGCACGGTAGAGGTGGCTCACGCGAGGCGGACCGGCATGGCCGAGGGAAAAGAGGGGAGTTGCGCGGTAGACCTTCAAATCCAAAGACCCTCACCTGGCAGGTAGGGAATCATCGATAGCTGCGCTGGTAGCTGGGACCCGACAACAGCAGTGTCACTGAGTGAATACCTAGAGAGAAAGGAATGTTCAACAGGTGTCATCAACATCTGCGCTGACATACCTGCCAACCAATGGTCTATCAGACTACCATTTGACATTGTATGTATGCTTGCCACCTTGTCTCACCATTTCTATCACTGTGATGTTGGATCATTCCCATTGGCAAAGGATCCAAACATGTTAGGGTCGTCCATCTGGCCATAGTGGTTTTGCTTGGTCAAAGCCAATGGCTTGACCTGTGTCGTCTGACTTCCGAAAAAAAAAAAAAAGAACGCCTTCAGTGGTGGGGCAAGGCTCACATGGCCAGTTGGCTCGAGCAGATTCACTCAAACCTCGGCAGGTCGGCGAGAAGTGCCATGACCGGGGGAGCCTGGTGGACCTTCCCACCCGACGTTGATGAACAGATGAAACAAACTCCCGGGGACCCATAGATGTTTCACGGGAGAAAACCGGATTTGGACCCCATGTGAAGCTGAAAGGGATGCACACAGGGGACAGCGACGCACGGTGAGCAGTGTTTTTTTGATGTGCAACGAAAATGACGACCCTGGAGTGCATGGAACATGGAACGTTGAACATCTTGAAACATCTTTCACCTAAGTACTACTCACGCTTTCTTTCTCCTGGGGCGGATGGCGGATGATGTCTCTAGCACCCCCCTTTCTGTTGGGGATCGGATCTCGTATTGGCGATCGAAACCCCGTGGCTTGGAATCCACGGGGGCTCTGTGTATCAACCGGTGTCGTGCAGTACTCTTCGGGTTTTACCCTGCTGAAGTGGGGGCAACCCACCACCGTGGTACCTGCTGCAAAAGAAACATCTGAAAGTACACCCAAGTACACCCGTGGTACACCGTGGTGCGATTGTTCTTAGTTGAACCGGAATTTACCGGATGGGTTGAGACTGGTTTATACATACTGTATGTAATATATATATTGGATGGGTTGGCCCACATCAATGAACAAGAGCCTCGGTTGCCAGGTCGAAACCAAAAACATGCCAAGCAAAGAAGAGTCTGCTAGACCGTGCACCCACAAGGAGATCGCGTGCGCACATGTTCGCGACGTTTTCACGGCCAAAACGGCCAAGGAGCTCGCTTGGAAATCCAAGCATTTTTGACAGCCCTCGCAGAATTCCTTAGCTTCAAACAGAAAACCCTCGTCCTCATGCATCAGAACATAGAACTGCTTGGTCTTCGCTGCCTGGTGACCTTTGGCTTTCTTGAAAAGAGATGTGGCAGGGAGATTGGAGTTTGGCTATGAATTGGCCATCCATGGCAGCCTCCCATGTGAAAACGAGTGCGACTCTGCGTCTCTATGAAAAGGAGAAGGCACCAGGCTCCAACACGAAAGATATCGTTCTTGTATTTATTCGGTCTTCCCCAAGAACCCTTGCTGCAACATGAGCCAAAAAGACCTGTCTCAGGGTTTTTTGAAACACAGTCTTGGCGCAACATGAGTTTTGACACAATATGCCTTCCATGGTGAATGAACTAGCCTCCAGCTTCTCAGCCCGCCTCACAACAAAATGAAGAAACATTTAGGCCTTTGATGTGGTTGCCTCAGTTGTTTCTGCAGATTCTGCAGATTCATTAGATTCTTGCCACCAATCATGGCCATTTCCTCGGAACCAACAAAAACCTAATGTGTTTTCAACATCCCGCAGAACAATAGACAATAGTTCCCCAAATAGTGCTCCGCACTAAGGGGTTCTTACAGTAAGAGTTAAGCGGGTTTAGATCAGGGTTCGCGCGTGTGGGCGCGGCAGTTTGCGTGGGCCGGCTCGCACAAAAGTGACTTTTTGAATTCCTCATGTCCATTTCGACTGCGCAGGCTCGCATAAAGTGGTGGCCGCGCCTTTCGCGCTTCCGGGACAAAGCTCTCGTGCAGGTGCCGTGCTCGTTTTCGGACATGAAGTGCATTTTGCGTGGCAGGCGCAAGGAATTCGACACATTGGAGCCTCGAAAAGGTCATTTTACGTGGCAGGTGCAAGGAATCGGAGACTTTGCAAATTTCGTGGCAGGCGCAGTGTTTTGTGGACGTTGCAAAAACGTTGGCAGCCGTGTGTCATTCGCAGGTTTGCGTTTCACGTGGCAGGCGCAGGGCATCCGCACCATGGATGCGATATTTTGAGGTGAAACGGGTGAATTCGTGAGAGGGGTCGCATTTTTGGAATTTGAACTTGAGGATGCTTTTGCGTGGCCAGTGCAGCATTTCGTATGACCTGCAGGCATGATTTCGTGGCAGGCACAGCATTTCTGAAACGCATTTGAAAATTTGCGAAAGCCTCGTGCAATTTGCTCATTTTGGATCTCCGATGTGCAGATTTCGTGGCAGGCGCAGCACTTTGTGAATCTCGATG